GCCCCAAAATGGCCGCCGGCTGTTGGTCAATGTGGCCAGGTTGGCGTCACCGACTTTTTCATTATATCCAACTTTTTTCTCTGTGTGATGTTTTGTTTTTTGTTGTTGTTTTTTTTTTTTTCTTTGCTTTGCTTTGCGGCTGCTTTGTTTTGGCTCGTGTCCCTTTTTTCGCTTACGCCATTCTCGTTTATTTATTAGCAATTTTATTAGCTATGAATTTGTTTGTTTTTATCGTAAAAATGAGAACCCGCCGCAGAGCCAGCCGCAGAGTACAAACAAAAACAAACCCGACCTGCCGGGTCCGCCCACAACTCCGACTCCTGCTGCTGCTGCTGCCGTTCCATCTCCTACCTCACCTTTAGCCAATTTCACTTGCAGCTCTCAAAGGGTATCTGATTGCTGTTGTTGTTGTTATTGTTGTTGTTTGTGCTGGCCAAATGAATGTGATTTATATTTTCAATAATGAAAGTGACTGCCGCCGCAGCCAGTTCCGGTTTCCGTCTGCTTTTAAAACATTTAAATTTAAATATTTTTCTATGCCTTGATTTATTATGCTGGCCTGCAAATGTTTTTCCTATGCCGGGGGAGTTCTGCCCGACAGTGTGGGCGAGCCACGTGGGCGTGGCTGTGCTCGTTTTACGCCCGAGCACACAAAAGATGTGACTGGCGGCGCAATTATTTGTCTTGACTTGTCAGCCAAGGTGATTAAAAGTTTGCCAGCCCCTCTTGCACCCTCCCGAAAATGAATAAAATGCCCACGAAATGGGGCAGCTAATACGGCAGATTTTTGTGGCCCGATAATCACTAGGTGGCACAAGGTGCACAAAAAAGGATCGCAACCCAAATCAAATTTCACAATTTGCCTTTGCAGTACAACTGAAGTCAAGATTAAGACAAGACAATAGCTAAAAGTGAATGGAGGGAGCAAAAGAAGAAGACAAAACTAAGCTTGAATATCCTAGAAAATGGGAGCTTTGTAGTGCTTTTAGATGAATGCTTTAGTTTTTATAACAATTTCTAGAGTTATTACATAATGTGGTCTGATTCGTAACGATTTAACGGCAGTGCAAGAAGTATGAATAATAATCCTGGCATTTAAAAACTTGAAGAATAGAACGACATTCTACAGATGAAATTTTTTAATATTAAAATATTTTAAAGTTTTATTATATTGTAGGCTTACGACTTATCAAGTCTATATAATTTCCGTGATATGAAACATTTGAAAAGCTTAATAAATACCTGCTTTTTTTTGAGTCTACCACTTAACTGAATGAGTTAACGGCAATGATTTTAATGTTTATATAGTGCTTAACTCTTAATGGCTTAATAAAATAAAATATTTATACAAAAGAAAAAAATCATTTTTAATTTATGCACGCGTCCTCAAAAACTAGCATTATCGTTGCAGCTGCCGCAGCTGCCGCAGCTGCTGCCTCCACTTGCCGCAATTTGCGTCCAAGCCTCCCGGTCTGAGCCCCCTTCAATCCTTTTCACTTTTGGCCACTTAAGCGCGGCAGACCCAAACCCGCCAGCCTGGTCCACCTACGCTACCCCTACCACCATCTACCTACCCCCACCCCCTTCAGCCCTTCTCCTGCCATTGGCAATTCATGGCTCGCTACGCGCGCATTTCGCTCAGTTTTATTTATATTTATTTATTTTGTTTTTAATTTTTTATTAAAACATGCGCTAAATGTTCCCCTTGCGGCAATTTAATAAAAATAAAAGCCAAAGAGCAACTTGAACGTACCGTGCGCCTCTTTCAAGTATAAGCCAAACGCACACACCCACACACACTCACACATACACACAACCACAGCGTCATTCCAGGTGAATGCGCGCGCTGCGTGCATTAAATTTTCACTATTCACGTTTGGCAAATAAGAAAATAAAAAGAAGGCAAACCCAAAAAAAAAATGAAATAAAAGCAAAAAGTGAGAAATAAAGGACGAAATAAAAAAAGGATAGCTGGCGCCGAGGCCAGGTCCTGGTTACGTTGAATGGTAGGCGCAACGCCCCAAGTGTTGGCCATAAGTCAGCAAACATGAATAACAAATCAATTCAGTTTTAACGGCGCTGCAAATTCTTGAGCGCACACCCACACACACACACACACCTACACACACCCGCACAGAGAGCAGGACTCATTTGAAAGGTGCGAAAACGAGCTGTTGAAAGGTGAGCAAAGCAAAGCAAAGGCGCCGACACACAAACAAACACACACACACTTATACAGGCTCACAGAGACAGGCGCTTAAGAGGCCGCCGAGCAAATATACATACATACATATATATGTATATGAGTGTGTGTGGGTGTGCCAGCTAGTATGCTGTTAATGGCAGCCCAGGCCCTTGTCCGCTGCTCGTCGGGCATTTTGAATTTTTAATGCCCGCCTCCGCCTGCTTAGGCTGCCTGCTCCAAATTTTTGCTACTCTTCGTTTATTTTTTTTTTTTTTTAGGCATGTTTGCATACATTTGCGCTGCCCAGCAAACTATGCATATGCATATGAATGCTAATGTGTGTGTGTGTGAGTGTGTTTGAGTGTGGCCCACCTTCACCCCTGTCGCACTTGTCTCTCGTTTTTTTATGCCCTGGCAAAATTGTCCGGTAATAAATTTTCAGCGTTTCCTGCCGACAAAGCGCCGCACTTTACAACACTTTTGGCATAAACAAACAAACACCACACTCATACACATACACACGTACACATATGCAGCTGGTCATGCGTGTGAATGAACTATGTGTGTGTGCGTGTGAGTCTGAGTGTAGCATGGCGTTCATGTAACGGAAGTTAAGTACACACTAAGTTGAGCTCGTCCGCTTGTAACGACGCTTCCTTCATATGTTTTCTGATACTTGCCACACACTCACACACTCATGCACACCTGCCCTGCAGGTGAAAATGTTTGAGCTTTATTTTTTATTATTGTGTACACACAGAGACGTTGTCCAAAGGCTTAAAACAAAACTTTTGCGCCATGCCCCATCAAAATTAATGTCGACATCTCTGCGTTGCCGCTGCTGCTTCTGCGCATTAAGCTCGCTGATGAGCTTCTGCGTGACTATGCCTATATGTGAGTGTATGTGTGTGTGTGTGTATGTCTATTTGTGTTTTGCATATTTTTTGTGTTTTGTGTACTTATGTTTATGGTGTTAAGTGCATTTCTCAAGTGTTTCATGTTTACGCAGCAACATAACCTTAAAATCTCTTGAGGGCGCCTAAATAGAGGACTCATTTTCCCTTAACAATCTTAAGGTTATAGTTAGACAGAGAGGGAGCGAGAAAGAAAGTGAATAAGTAGAAAAGATAGAGGCGGACACAGAGAAAGAGAGGAAGACAACAATAGAGGGGGATAGTGCTAGGAAGAAAGGGAGAGCAGAATGGAGAGCCATAGAGAGAAAGAGAAGTACAGAGAGAAAGAGAGAGAGTGAGCGAAGGAGATTATTAGAAAGAGAAAAAGAGAAAGACATGTAGATTTTTATAGAGAAGCAGAGCGAGCCATAGTGAGCGAAAAAAAAGTTAAAGGGAAAAGAAGGAGCAATAGATATTTATAAGGAGAAAAAGAGACAGCCTGTGAATAAACATAACTTAAAAATATAATAAGCAAATGCTAAACCTGGCATTAAACGTTATATAGCACCCATATCATTTGTACATAAGCATGTATACAACCATTTCATTGTGTGAAACTGCTATTATGCAGCCCTTTTGCAAGAAGAAGAACAACAACAACTGTAGCGAAAATCGGGCACAAGTGTTTGTAGACGTACTGCTCTGCTTGTTGCTTGAGCTAATAAAACACTTACTAACACTGTCACTCCAAACTAATTATGCAGTGCCGTGTAGCATGCGGGAGAGAAGGTAGACTCAGCTCAGCGCGGCCCAGCATGTTGTCTATGCATATCTAGATGTAGCACCGTCATTAACTGTCATTACACAATTTCCATAAACAACTAACGAGTGTGTTTGCTTGTGTGAGTGTGTGTATGTGTGTCTGTTTATGTGTGTGAGTGTGTGCGGCATAGAGAGCTGGAAAAAAGTTCTGGCTGATTGTGCCAGCGAGTGTCTGAGCCATTGTTTGTCTTTAGAAACTTTTTAAATTGTGTTAAATATTCCATTAAACAGAAAGCTTTTTTGTTTGCAACTGCAACAGTCAGTTGCACCGATGCCAGAGTAGATAAATTGAATGGTTAAAAGTAGCCCCAACTAAGAGCGTTGTGGGTGGGCCGGGGCTGCATCCAGTCGTTGCTGCCAGCTCGTTCCAAATATAAGCCTGCAATTTTTATTATAATTTTATGCTCAAATGCGCAACATTTTATGTGCATCCTATATATACATATACATACATATATTTATATATAGAAGACTTTTGTTTTGCCCCGAGTTTACCATGAAACATTAATGGAGCTGGTAAGCTTTTAAGATAATTGCAAAAAATGCGAATATAAGTGTCTTTCATGTTTTTGATTAGTCACTGTATAGTTAAATAGAGGGAACCAATTGATCAAATTGTGTGTTTCAAAAAATATATATATACAAATATTTATTTTCATTTGCTTCTTAACTTAGTAGAAGTTTGTTTACATACGTATTTGCTTAATACTTAATTTTGTATAGCTTACATAATAAATGAGAATAATGTAAATTTTTTGTAGAAAACAAATTATAAATTTTGTTTTTATTTTATTTATTAATTTGTTTTTAAGCTTGTTACATACTTCATTTAAAGTTAATATTTTAAATTACATGCTTATTATGTATTAATTACATATAGAATCTGTGTTGCATATATTCATACAAATAAGGCTGCATACAGTATTTTTATTAAAAGAGAGTCATGGCAAGGTTACGCGATTTTTTTAAATTACGTTAAATGGTTTCTAACGTTACAATTTAAATACTCCGCCACAAACAAACAAGAGCTCGCCATATGTGACGTCATTAATATGGCAAACATGCGCACTGCACAACACTAGAAAAAACGCCCTTTAGGTATTTTTTAGGCACAAAAAGTAATCAGAGTTGTAGCCGAGCTGAAAGTGAATGAAGAAGCAAAACAGCGAGCAGCAGCAACAGCACAGTAGGCGCAGTGAAAATGTATAATTTAATTTAACTTAATTACAAATTAGTTGGCCGCGTTAGATTTCATTTTTCGTTTTGCCCCACAGCGCCCGGCAGTACGTAGCAAACGCTGAAAAGCAACGCAAGCAGCCACAAAGCGATTAACGAGTGCTAAAACCGCTAACCCAGAGCACACAAACACACTCATACATACTTTCATACAGACACACACGCACGCTCTCACCGTCGTGAAGAGGAGGTGGTTGAAAACCAAGAAAAATGCAGCAGCTAAATTTTAGCCGGGGCCGCCGCGCAACGCGGGCGTTGCTGCTGATAGCCGCCGCATGCTGTCTTCTGTCCGTTGCCTCATCAGCCGGCGCCGCTGAGCCTGAGATCGATGACTTCGATGATGACGGACTAGTGGAAGATGTGCAGGTGAGACCAGCCAAAAAAAAAAGTCATGGAAGCATACATACATCAACACACGCATATACACATACATACATATATGCTTAAAAACATGCGTGTGTGTGTATATGTTTTGGTGGCCGGTTGCCACCGGCGCACAAAAGTACACGTCAGTAGCAACAACAGTTGCTGCTGCGGCTCTTCTAATTGTTGTTGTTGTTCTATTTTGTTCTATTTTATGACACGGGGAGCATTATAGGGGTTAATAGTGTATGCGAGAAAAAGCGTGACCGCCGTATAAAGCGCTGACCCGCGCTATATTTCGATTTGCACTTGCATACATACAAACATGCACACATGCATAAAAACAGAGACAAATACATATACGTACATACATACATATATACTAAGCCAACAAACTTACGCAAGACCCCCCTTTCGCCACACTGTCTCAGCTTCGGTCTCTGTGTTTCACTCTCTCTGACTCGCTCTGCTACGATAAAACATTAAGTGTGTCAGCCGCGTGGGTTTTTTTCCCCCAGTTGTACCCTGTACCCATGCAAAATGATTAGAACAGGGTATATGGGCGTAGTAATTTTCTCTCTATGAGCATCAACAGGCGAATCTTACTTCACACGTGCCTCCGTCTCTGGGAGTTAAAGTTCACAGAGTTTGCTACGGAAAACTTCTAGACCTATCAATATATATGTATATATTCTTGCTTATCTCCAACTGTGCTGCCTTACTAATTCTCTTGTGATTGATCAAGTTGCTTACTTTGCTGACTTTGTGGTACACGCCCATTTCTGATTGTCATATGTAAACCATGGGAAACTGAATATGGAATAAAGCAAATCAATTTTTAGTTTATCTAGATCATTATTTACTATTACGCTCAACGTATTGCAACTCTCCCATTGACAACATTTCCTATCAATCTATCTCATTTCTACAGGAGGAGCCAATCAATATTCCCGGCGAGGAGCTGGTCTATGAGAGTCCAGTGATCGAACCCAAGAAATTTCATTTTGCTGATCATTTCGATGATGTTGACGCCTCACGCAAACGCTGGATCAAGTCACAGGCCAAGAAAGACGATATTGCCGAGGAAATAGCCAAATACGATGGCATCTGGAACTGGGAGTCGCCTCTGCGCATTGTCTGGCCCAAGGATAAGGGCCTGGTGCTCAAGTCAAAGGCCAAGCACGCAGCCATTTCGGCGCCACTTAACAAACCGTTCGACTTCAAATCGAACAAACCGCTGGTGGTGCAATATGAGGTCACAATGCAGGTGGGTCAATAGCCAACTAAACAGGCAGCCACCAATTGGCCATTGCAAAGAATTGGTGGATTGCATCAGCCGTCGCTTATGGATTGACTAATCCAATTAATAGCCACATAGCATAAGCTAATCGACCCAATTTCAATTTCGTATTCCACAGGAGGGTCAAGAGTGTGGTGGCTCGTACATAAAATTGCTGTCGTCAGGCAAGGAAACCGAAGATCTTACCATGGTTAGTCGCCGACCCAATTGAAATATGAATTAGCTCCGATTTCCATGTTTACTTATTGTTTGTTTTCTTTCTGTTTTCTATTCGCTGTTTTTGTTTAGTTCAATGACAAAACACCCTACACCATCATGTTTGGACCGGACAAGTGTGGAAACGATGTGAAAATGCACTTCATATTCCGTCACGTAAATCCAATTAACGGCACCATAACCGAGAAGCACTGTAACAAACCAAAGTAAGTGGACCCACATATGCGACTCAATCACACACACACACACATATACAGAGATAGAGATAGAGAGAACCCGCGTGCAACCATCGTTTGCTACTTTATTTTGTATGCTGTGCAGATTAGCCCGCGCATCTATCTATGGACATTTATATACTTATTTATTTACATAGATTAGCCCCATGTGCAACAGCTGCCGCTGATTCAGTTCATTCACTTGTTATAGTCGGGCAAAGGGCTCGTTTGTCGCTCTTAATTCAAAATTGATGCATGAAAAATCGCTAAAGTTAGGACATACATATTTTTATATTACCATTCGATTCATCTTTTACAATATCAATTAAATGCTATAAAGTTAGTTCCTAAAGAAACAGTCGAGAAACATAAGCTAATTACTTAAAAGCCCATTTTCTTTTCGCTATTTTGATTTACTTTAGGAACCGTTTGGAGGAGCCCTTCAAGGACAAGCTGCCACATTTGTACCAGCTGGTTGTGCGACCGGACAACACCTTTGAGATACGCGTTGATCACAAGATCATTAACGAGGGCTCTCTTCTGACCGACTTCAAGCCGCCAGTGAATCCGCCTGCAGAGATCGACGATCCCACTGACCAGAAGCCAGCTGATTGGGATGAGCGCGAGAAAATACCTGATCCTACGGCACAAAAGCCCGATGATTGGAATGACGATGCATTGCCACAGATACCCGATACCAGCGCCACCAAGCCGAATGGCTGGTTGGATGATGAGCCCGATATGATACCCGATCCAACTGCTACTAAGCCCGATGACTGGGACACGGAAATCGATGGCGAATGGGAGGCGCCGCTCGTGGATAATCCTGCTTGTGAAAAGGCACCGGGTTGCGGCAAATGGAAGGCACCACTGATTCCAAACCCAGAATACAAGGGCAAATGGCGCGCACCCATGATCGAGAATCCCAACTACCAGGGCAAATGGGCGCCACGCAAGATACCCAATCCTGATTTCTTCGAGGATCTTATGCCATTCAAAATGACGCCAATTGTAAGCAGTGGGGATGGCTGCAAAATCAAAACTTGCTACTATATATTTACTTTTTCAGAGCGCTGTTGGCCTGGAGTTGTGGTCCATGTCCAATGAAATACTGTTTGATAACCTTATCATAACGGACGACGTGGATGTGGCTCGTGAGTTTGCCGCCAGTAGCTTTGACATCAAGCGTCGCTACATTGATCGGGAATCGGTAAGTTGACTGCCACGCTCACTCACAAACAATTAACATAAAAGGAAAAGAAAACTATTTAATACTAATTTCCTAATGCTCAACTTTAAAAGAAAACTTTGTGGCATCGAATGATGCGCCATATGAACTATAAGCCCGGCTGGTGGGCATTATACTTTCTATATCTGCTGATACCCGCCAGCTGCTATATCTTCTATTTGTATCGACGGTCCAAAGAGGTCACGTTTCGAATATATTAGATGCATAAGATATAGAGCTACACACACACAAACACACTCGCCTATTGCCATTGCCTTTGCACATTGCACCCTTATTGCTATTTGCTCATCTCATTTTGTAGGACTCATTGGTCAACAAGGTAGTTGAGCTAACTAAGGCCTATCCCACGGCCTGGGCTATTGGCCTGGTCGTATTCATCTCAGTGATTGTCATCGGCATCTACTGTAGATTTGGCAAAGCTAAGAGTCAGGTAATGTAGCTAGCCTAAAGCTTAAATTAACTGAATTCAATTCTGGAGCTCTATTTTTAATATCAATCGCTTGTAACCCAATAGGATTCGGCGGCCAATGCTGCGGCTGCTCAGGCTAAAAAGACGGATGAGCCGCAGCCCGACGATGAGCAGGATGGCGCTGCTGATGAGAACGAGAGCGAAGAGGACGCTGATGCGGCACCAGCGCTGGCGACTGGTGGCAGCAAGACAGACATTTCTGCCAGCCCCAAAAAGATTAAAAAGTCTGATTTAGATAATAAAGAGCAGCTCAACCAGAAAGATGAAGAGCCCACACAGACTGAGGTAGCTATGAAATAGATATTTAAATGTTTTCGAGTTTCTGAAAATTTAAAACACTTTAAATTGAAGTGAACTTCAATTAGGAGAGTCTGAAGATTATCTAATGGTCATTCACTTTCTTTACAGGAAAACACCACGAAATCTACGCGCAAGCGTACCGTGCGCAAGGATTAGAGGACGTGGGACAATCCAAAACGTCTCGGATTTACAATATTTACTTGAAAACTTAAACTAATTCCAAAAACAAGAACTGCAACCACAGCAATGGCAGTAACAACAACAACAACAACAAACAACAACATCATCAGCAGTAGTAAAAACAACACAGCCTGTTTTAGTTTTAAATTAGCACTCCACTCATATTCATTGAGAACTCGTACAAACACCCACGAATACAGAGAATAGGTAGACCTCAAAGGCCAACTAAAACTATTGTTGGTAACTCCATAGTTCGCATGCAGCTGTTAATTAAATGAACTAGTTTTTATGTGGTTTGGTTTAGTCATCTTATACGTACGGCACGTTCTGTATTATTCATTGTATTTCTGTTTGTATACTCTCCATATATACTATACCCTATCCCCCAATACTGTCTCACATGTCATGTTTTATTCTCACTTTCCTATGTAAAACACACTAAAAACAACAACAACAACAACAAACTATAACTAGACAAATGAGGGAATCAAAGATAAATGAAACCAATAAGAATGCAGTCAAAAGGAAACTCCAAATGCAAATATAACATGAGAGAGAGGGTAGCAAAGCAAGTAAAAGAGAGAGAGAGAGAGCAAAGGGAAAATATCTAGTTTAATATTATGTAATTTAAACGAAATTTTATGAATACGCTAGTTATACTCAGAGTTAAAATAAATTTCCTTTTTCATTTATAATAATGAAAATTTACAGCGAAAATAAAACTGAATGTCAAAACCAACTGGATACATTTATATCAATAAATAAGTATTTACTACACGAGCAACGCCAACAATAACAACAACAACCGACGGCCGGCAGCAACCCGGAAGGACTAACCAACTGACGTTTGCATACAGTCCACCAAAATCCTGCATATCCTTTTTTCCACCACCAAATGAGTGGCCCGGTCCAGTCCAGTGTTAATTTAAATGTCAAGCCCTTGTAAATGCTGATTGAACATTTTTGTGGGCAGCAGCCGCCGCCCCACAGTAAATCGGCTTCCAATTGGATTTATGCTTGGTGGTGCGTGCAGCGACAACCACCGCAGCGCAGACAGCGTCGCATATTTTGCGGTTTTTAGACATTTACCCACAAAATAAAGGAGGCAAAACATTTGGTCATCTAGATTATTAAAATGTGATGGACTCCAACCATTTGGCACAAAGCTCGCCAATTGGTCAAATGAATTATTGAGTGCCTGCAGGAAATGAAACACTCGATTGCGGATTAGAACCTTGGCCCACAGCCTATAACTGTTTATATATGGGCATAAACTTAGTCAGTTTTGATAATGAAAACGTTTTCCATTTATAGACTGCGATTCGTAGGCTAAACCAGCTTTGAACTAATATGGAAATTAGACGCAATAGCATTACGGTCATATATAATAATATTAATGTAATATGTATTAGTATATTGCCTGATATATAATATATATTTGCATCATATATTAAATTGAAGTTATGAACTAAATATTCGTCTTTTGCATTTAATCTAGAAATTTAGTTGGTAAACTGATGGGAACAATTGCAGATAGAAACCCCTCCCCGCCAAGATTTCTGCTCTTATTATATATTATCTATCATTACACTTTGAGCAGTTATTTTCCTTACATTTTCAGTTTTAACTCAAACGGAAAACTAGATAGATATAATTTTCCACTCTCTGAAGCATGAGTATTCAATAAGAATACTAAGAAGAATAATAATAATTTTGTTTATACGAACTTTTCCATATCTCTAATTTTAATACACAACAAACAAAGAGATTGTCATATTGACGGCTTGAAAGAAAAGTTAAAACTAAGTTTTGATAAATAGTAAGTCTTAAAGAATTCTATTTCTATCCATTCATATTTTTGTCATGTTTTCTATTTAAAGTGAATCAGAACATATTAAACACGAAATACATATAACACGATTGAAATCTTGAGAACTTTGACTGATTTCGAGTTTTTACAGAGTCTATGTTTATTTTGCTATTTAAGCCTTTAACTTTAGACATTTTAACTTTGCCGCAAAGTTGTTGCAAGTCCTAAACAAATATAAATATCTTTGTCGCCTTTCGCTAGATTTAATTCAATTTCCTGCGTCCATAAACATGCCAGGCTAGACTCTCCCTGTGGCTCCCTGACTTTGGCCTGGGCCTGAAAGGCACGATTGTTAATGAAATTGTTATGACAGCCCCAAAGCTAATGCACACACACACACACGCACGCACACATGTGCATGCATATATGGAAATTGGCAAATACTTTCTATTCAAATTAGATTTATGCCCGCCAACAGATGTGCTGCGATTCGAATTGTGTCTGGAATCAACCCGTCGACCTTTTTGGTCACAAAAGATTAAATGCGTTGCGTGGGCTGAGGGGTTAACTGATGTCTGGAGCGATATCGACGCACTTAAAAGGATTAACATTTTTGTGCTGACTGCGGCTAGAACTGCTCCCGTTGCATATTAAAAACAAGTAAGAAAGCTCCAGTCGAGACTGCTCGACTAGGAGATACCCTGAACCCTCTAAGCATATATTCTAATCATTCTGCACTTCTTTTATGCACACATACATACACATGCACTTATAAGCACGCGCTCTGCTAACTGCGCAGTAAGCAGCGACTGCGCTTGGGCTGCGCTGCAGTGTGGGCAATATTATGAGAATTTATTTGTCGAATAATTTCTTTTGTAAACATATGATCTTAATGAAACTTTCAGAGTGTAATCATATGGTAAATATGTGTGTACATTCCAAAGCACAAGTCTCTAGTACNAGACTCCAGGTCTAAAAATGTTCAAATTAGGCTAAAAAAACAAAATCAATTTTTCGATTATTCTCGATAAAAAAGTTATCGGACGATTTATCGAAAAAATAAAGCAAACTCGTACTGCGTATGGTACACACGAGTATGCATGCCAAATTTCAGCTCTCTAGCTCTTATAACTTCTGAGATCGACGCACTCATACGGACGGACGGACGGACGGACGGACGGACGGACGGACGGACGGACGGACGGACAGACGGACAGGGCTATATCGACTCAGCTCGTCACGCTGATCAAGAATATATATACTTTGTGGGGTCTGCCACGCCTCCTTCTGCCCGTTACATACTTTTTCACAAAACCATTATACCCTGATTTCCCATTTTCAATGGGTTCAGGGTATAAAAACATGGCCAAATAACATAGCAAAAACAACAAAACTTAAGAGCGGGAAATGCGCTCAGCTGCTCGTAATTCATAGATAGACAGAAAAATAACAGAAAACTTCAGCTTTAACTTAGGGAATACTAGATACTCTTTTCGATATTTTTAAAAACAGAGGCACATATTATAAAATATTAAAAAAAAATTTTCTGTTTAACCCTGTATTATTCTTCTTAAAATAAACCAAAACTAAGTATAACATTATTTCAGCTTATGAGCATATTACATGACAAAGCTGGAATACCCTTTCGAAAAGGGGCTAGTGAACCAGCTAAAGGGCGGCAACGCCATGTGATTGCAGCCACAGTGCGTCTGACGGGTGGTGTCCAGCGGGTTGGCAAACCACATTTACTTTTTGCTATGCGTAAGCATTATAATTTTAATAAAAATACATTTTTTTTGTTTTCTGCTGTTGTCAAAAACAACTTTGAACCCTTCAAGCAGACAATAGGCACACGCAGACTACCCCTGCCCAGGCCAGCCCTGGACTGCCCCACCCACCACAGAATACAGCCCATCAAAAGATTTCATAAACGGCGGGCTTCCGAGTGAGCGCTTAAAGTAGAATTTGTTCAACTCGAGGGGTAGTTGCAGTAGTGGGGTCAAGTCCCCCCATTGGGAGCCGGCAGTCGGACTTATTGCAGCAGCTTCTGATGTGCTGATGTGCCCGCTCCCGGTTCCGTCTCCGGGCCAATCGATGCGTAAGCAAAAGTACCAAGCCATATGTAATGTTATTGCAGTCCCTTCCTCGCCAGAGTTGACAGCTTTTGGGGTCGGTTGCTCGCAAGGGTTGCAATTTGGCTCTAGAGACCCCAAACCGCTCGCCGTCAAGACCATCTACCAAGCGCTCTTAGCGAATTCCGTGCAATTAAATTGTGCATTTGGGCAACTACCAGCAGACACGAGCAGCCCATTAATTGCGGCTCGATTTCATCATAAAGATTACAGATTATAGATTGGAGATAAAAAATCATATAAATAAATTGGTTTTCAACTATGCAGCTCTAATAGCTCTCAGTGCACACAATTTATTTGACTTCAATATTATTTTCATTGATTTCGTGCCACGATAATCGTCTTATGATCCCCGCCCTCCACCAACCCAGCCCCGACCCACACTTTCCATGTTTTGCAATAACCATTTTTCACTCGAATGAATTGGATTTTGGCGCCCGGACATGAAATTGAGTCCTCGAAGGATCCGATGTCAATGCAAATGCCATTCGATTCATAAACAGATTTGCATATTTGAACCTGCCTAATGAATGTCTTTTCGCTTCAAACTCAATTAACCCACACACTTCGCAGCAGCGAAAGCTTGATTGAATGGAATATTCTAATGATACTTTACTGTCTATGAATGTCAGCTCGATTTCAGTTGCTCGGCTAATGCTTCAATTTTATTCGCCCGGCAATGCTTCAAGTTTCCGGAATTTAAGCACTTGCAATAAACAAGAGACAAAGGCAAAATATTTATACATACTGCATGGCAAGTAATTATGTATTAAATTCTATTTACTTTGAATCAATTCTGACCTTTTAGAAAGGAGTATTAAATTCTTGGAAAGTCTATGAACCAAGATAAACTTTTATAAAATTTGAACAACAATAACTACTAACAGCAATTCAAATCAACCTTTTGACATATTTACCACTTGTATAACTAGTAAAAAGAACAAATAAAATTGTATAAATTTATTATATTCTGCTAATCAAATTAAGCTTAAGCTAAATTATTTTTCTTATTAGGTATTTATTTATATATCAGTAATCTAATTATTTTTATAATTCCACAGTCATATTCTTTATGTTTAAGATCAAAGAAACATTTAATAAAGGCTTGCAAAACTGTTTAACCAAAAAAACATCATTCATTTATTTAAACTAAATTTGAATATTAACGGAACCTTCAAGTATCAGTCAAAAGCTGAATATCATATATTTGCTCGCTGACAAAAGCTTATTTTTATGAACTCACTAATAGCGGACAAAAGCTTATTGTATAAAACCTAGGTTGATGTCTCAACTAACTGAACGAAATGGAGACTTGCTCATCTAGCGAATGTATCTACCACTAAACTGATTTACGCACCATACTAAATAGCTCCACATCTAACGAAACCTTACACTGTGCACAACGAAATTAAAGAAATTGACTCTCAAATCGAAAAAGAACGAAACGAATGGACAAACATCGAAAGTTTGACAGGCCATTAAATATGACGAATCAGCTTATTTCATAGAACATTACCGCTTTAGTCAAGCTTCACACCCAGTGTTATGAAAAAGCTGTTAGCAATTGCATTCAAACTATAGGCAGTGCTTCTCATATTTATAAAAACGTATCTATAAAACCAACATGCACAATCTTGCCGCTTTTTGAAACCATAAATTTAAATCAATTTAATTTAATAATCATTTACAAAAATGCTCAACATGACACACGGCTGCGCTACTTGGTAAGCTTTGCCAATATTCAAGTATTTCAAAGATGTCAGCTAGCATAGAATCCCCGCATCTTGGGCCAACCGT